TATTGACTAGTAATTATCACAGAGCCTTTAATGTCTCCTGTCTTCTAAGGGACCTAAAAGTGCTGGTCAAGAATCCTGGGTGACTACAACCCCAATTTTTCATTTCCCATTGTGAAAGTTCCAAATCACTCTCTAAAAACAACAACAAAAACAAACAAACAAACAAACAAAAACCCAGCATCATTTGATCCATTCCCAGTACTCGTTTCCTTATTCAGAACTTTTTCAGTGTCTCTGAAAAAGTGGCAGGAAAAGGTACAGGGAAAATTTTGTAGTAATAAGATAAGTGGGAAACTTCACTTCACTTACATTTTCACTGTCTGTAAATTTGGATGCATGGACTCAATAGAGGGAATGACTAAGGGAAGCCAAGATGGGTATGATAATAAACTGTGCTTAGTGTTTGTAGTGGAGGGCCCACGCAGGAACGTTCTATGTAGTGCAACATGGAGGACTTTTCTCAGATTCATTTTTGTAGCCTTAAAAACAAATGGTCTAAATATATTAGCTTCACAATTTCTTTTAATCCTGAAATATATAATGCCCTGATGTAATTTTCCCTTGGATAATTCCTCAGGCAATTAATTGAATCAGCCATCTGTTCAGCCTATTTTGTACAGAACAACAAAAAGCTATATTCACGCAGCTGTTGCTTAAAAAGACAGGGTGGACAGTGTTCTGCTCTCCATCCCCAGCCCTGTTTCTCCCTCCATTCACTATTCTGGACATTTTGTCCAGTGAAATATTTCCTTCTGGATTTAATCATCTAGAGTTCCAGCACAAGCCATAGGAAATGAAAACAAATATATATTTCTTTTCCATGTATAGTACGTACACCTGTGTGATGGATCATATATGTCCCAACTGTACCTTCTGAAGACAGCCCCTAAGGCACTCCAGAATGTTACCTTGGCTGAAAATAGGATTGTTGCAGGTGTAATTAGTTAAGATGTGGTCATACTGGAGTAAGATAGGCCTCCTATATTCAATATAATGGATGTCCTTAGTATTACAAGGGAAATTTGGACCCCCAAAAAACTAGGAAAGGTATCATATGAATATTGTAGTTGTGTCATCTGAAACTACCAGAGCCTGGGAGAGGGGAATAGATTGGATCCTTCCTCAGTGCCTTCAGATGTAGTCCTATCCTGATACACCTTGATTTTGACGTTTGGTGTCCCGAACTCTGAGACAATAAATTTCTAATTTTCTAAGCCCCCTAGTTGGTAATTTTTCATTGCATAAGCACTAGGAAATAAATATAAATCTTAGTACAGCTCTATGGTATGGAGGGTTTACAGATTTGTTTTGCTTATACTGCTGTTTGGGTTAGCACTCAATGCCAGTACATTTTTATATCAGCTATGAGGCATCTAGTTTCAAGCACTTGGCTTTTCCCATACTAGCTATGTAATTAACCTCACAGATCTTCACTTCACTGATAATAATAATATTTGACCTCAAGAACCATAAATTTATTTATGAATATTAAAAAGAGAACATAAGCTAAAAACAATACTGCACTGGGGTACGATGAAGATTCGGAGAATAGAGGTAAAATCCACTGTAGCTGGCCTCTATGAGTTCAAGTCTACTCCTCCCTTTACTAGTTGGGTTACTGAACTATAGGTTTAATTCTGTCTTTTAAAAATGAAAGTTATAGACGTTCTTGCATATTAATTTGTGAAAACCAAATAAGTCAATATATAAAGAGGTCTTAGAAAACTGTCCAACACATCCAAAGTTTATGGAACCATACAAATTTTCAGTCATAATTTATAGACAGTAGATACTGATTTTAGATATAATATTAAGTGTGAATCAATGGTGATGTTGCATATTAATAACTCTAAAGGGGTAAGCAGGGCAAATCATGGGAAAGGATGTTATGAGGTAGATAAAGGTTGTCCACTGAGTCAGAAGAACTTTAGAACAGAGGCAATTTCCAGTAGATATTATTCTGGCCATTTACTTGTGTGACGATATTTTAGAGCCAAAATTTGTTGATCTTTCCATTTTCCTATATTTGTCACTACAAAGAAATACCTGAGGAAATCTAACTTATAGAGACTTATTTAGCTCATAGTTTGGGATGCAGAAAACCAAATAGCATAGCACAGGCTCTGATGAGGACCTCCTTGGCTGTGTGACTCCATGGTGGATTGCAAAAGCAGGAGCCCACAGAGTGGTGAGCAATCAGGACTCCAAACAGGAAACTAGAAAGAGCTACTGGGGTCCCACAGTCCCTGAAATTGCATAGGTCGAAATGATTGAATACTTCCTACTAAGCCCATCCCTTAAAAGATTCACCCTGCCCCCTTGGTCCTGGTGGGATCAAGGTTCTAACATATAAACTTTGGGGGAACACTACAAACCTTATCCAAATTATGGCAAGCATCATTCAAGTTGAATGTGTACTCTTGGTACCTTGGTTAAAAGTTAATTGGACCACAAATGTGTGGATCTACTTCTGGTTCTTTATCCTATTCTTTTCCATAACATGTCTGTTTTCATGCTCTTACCTTGCTCTTTTGATTACTATATCATGGTATTGTATTTGTAATATCATCTGTCATGTGATGCCTATAGCTTTTTTCTGTTTTTTTTTTAAATAAAAATTGCTTTGGCTATTCTATATATTTTGTAGTTCCCTATAAATTTTAGGATTATTTTTACTGTTTCTATGAAAAAAATGCATGGGATTTTGATAGGTGTTTTAGTGACTCTATAGATCCCTTTAGATAATGTAAAAAATTTATTATTAACTGTTCTGATCCATGAACATGGATATCTTTCCATTTATTTGTATTATCTTTGATTTCTTTCATCAATGTTTTATACTTTCACTTTACAGTATATAAATCTTTGACTTCCTTGGTTAAATTTATTTATGAAGTAGGTGGTTTTTTTATGCTATTGCAAATGTTGCTGTTTTCTTAATTTTTTCAGGCCAATTATTTTTAGCATTTGAATGATATGTCCCTAGCTCTTTATATTTTAAATTTTGAGACAAGGTCTTGCTAAGTTGCTGAGGCTGGGTTCAAATATGTAATCCTTCTGCTTCAGCCTCCCACAATGTTGGCACTACAGGCATCAGCCACTACGCCTGGCTAGAAATAATACTAATTTTCATAAACTGAGTTTTAGACTTACAACTTAACTAAATTTTAGTTTATTAGTTCTAATAATGTTTTGGGTTGGAGTCTCTAATATTTTCTAATTATAAGGTTACTGTTGTCACAGAAAAAAATCAAAATGCACTCTTACACAAGAATCAACTCACAATAGTCTAAAAACTTAAACATAATGCGTGAAACTATAAAATTAGCGGTTGAAAATAGAGTGAAAAAGCTGTACAACATTGGGTATTGGTCTAGAAGAGATTATTTTACTAAGACCCCAAAAGCATAGGTAACAAAAGCAACAGTGAACAAGTTGGGTTACATCAAACTAAAAAGTTTCTGCCCAGAAAAAACAAACAAAGAAAAGACAGTAGAATAAAAAGACAACTCACATATTGGGAGAAAATATTTGTGAGTGTACCATAGATAGAGGCTAATATTTCAATACTATTAAGGAAGTCAAATTATTGAATGAAAAGGAAACTAATGCTATTAAAAATGCGCAAAAAGACTTGAATAAACTTTTCTCAAAAGATATAAAAATAGAAAATAAATAAATGTAAAAACAATGCCTCTAATCATCAGAGAAATATAAATTAAAACTATAATTAAGTACTACCTCATACCAATAATATTGGCTATTATCAAAAAAGATGAAAGAATACATGCTGGTGAGAGGATGTGAAGAAAAGTGAATGTTTATAAACTATCGGTGGTATTGTACATTAGTATAGCCATTCTGGAAAGCAACATGGATGTTCTTAACAAAACTAAAAGTAGGATTATTGTATGTGTGAGTAGTAGCAGTCCTACTATAAGGTGTAGACCCAATGAAGTTGAAAGCTGTATGCTGGCTATGGTTGTACTCCCATGCTACTTGCAGCATTATTCATAACAGCCAAGATATGAAAAAATCTAAGTTTTGTTGGATAAGTAGATTTATTAAATATGGTATATATACAGAGTGGGATACCGCTGAAGGTTTAAAAATGAGAAATTGTGCCATTTTTGTCAACCTGAATGAACCCAGAGGACATCATATTAAGTAAAATAAATCAGGCTCAGAGAGTCACATATTGCATTATGTCACTTATATGTGGGAGCTCAAAAGTTGAATTCTTAGAAACAGAGAGGGACAGTGCTCACCACAGTTGTGAAAACAGGTGTGGGGCTGGGGTGGTCCAGGTAAGATATTTGTCAGTAGGTGCAAAGATAAATAAGAGGGATAATTTCTGGTGTTCTATTGTACAGAATGATGAGTATAGTTAATAATAAACATATTGTACATATATCAAAATAGCTAAAAGATTTCAAAAGTTCTCACCACAAATAAATGATACATATTTCAGGTAATATATGTGCTAATTACCCTCATTTGATCCTTCCACTGTATAAACCATATGTTTCAAAACATTGAGCTCTTTAAATACATATGATAATTATTTGTCAATTAAAAATTTCAACAGCAAAGATTTCAAGTAGATTTTACTTAGGTAGGCAGAAATGGTAACTGCTTTTTTTTTTAATTACTTCTAAAAGTTCCTAATGAAATTCATTTGCTTATATTTTAATTGAGATGCATTGTCTATACATCACTTTCCTAGCTAAGAGTAAATATAAAAAGCCAGGCCTTTTCTCACATTACTGTCTATATCAAGGCTAGATTTTAGGACAAACAAAGATCACTATTGGGAAAGACCATATGCTTTATGTGTGTCTGGTCTTACAGAAGAGAAGGAAAAGACATGTAGTAGTTAATCTGGCCTTACAGACCTGAAAGAGGCATTTTTAGTAAACATCTTCCATTAGTTTTCTCAAAGGAAATAGAAACAGTTGAGACTTTAAAGTATATATCTGGATTCCAGACAGTCTCAGCGCCTTTTTATCTAAGTTACAGACTGCAGAACTGTGGTGTGTTTGGTATCCTGCCCACATAATATTAACCTCTGCAAAACACATAATTTGAAATGTGCCATGAGAATAAGAACAAAGCAACTTCCATTTTCAGTTATGCATGTTGTTAGGTTGAATGAGGATGAAAAATTTGAAGCATCTCTGAAAAGGCTAGGCAACATAATTATAATTAAAATAAGGTACTACAAATCATTTCTGGAACAGATAGAGTATACAAATCAGAAATAAATAAAAAATTAAAACAGCCAATAAACATCATAGTGTCCATGACGTAATTAAATGCCGCCAGCCAACTGAAATGACTTCTGAAATTCACACTTTGCTAACATACTGCAATATGACAGCTCATAAAGTAACTGGAAATGTAACAATACGGTGAATAAATAGTGATGATTTTTCAGCATGTGATAACACATTTCTAATTAAAGAAGAATCCTCTGATGGGAGGAACTGGTACATAAATTTTGGAGTGAAATATTATATAACATTATTTCCTGATGGGTTTTTGAGAAATCTTAACCATTGTCTATTGGACTAAGAAACAAAACAGTAATATTTGTTCCTATTATTTGAAGCTTTACTTTAATTTACAGAAATATATTAACTAACAGTCACATATTTTTCTTTTCTTATCTTACCAAGATAGTTATATCATACCTAAAATTTTCCGGTTGCTGCTATCTGTTCTCCTAATAGAGATGGAGATGAATTTTCTTTATTTTCATTGACCATTGCCCAGATTACCTTCATAATGCCTTTTGGTTCACACACCCAACAGCAGAGTGGGTTGTTTCTTTTGCAAGTACAACTATATAATGATTATCTAAGCTAACAGATAAAGAATTTTTTTTATTATGCCGCATTCTTCTTTTATCAATATTTTCCATGTCCTAATACAATCAAATCAAAGTGCCATGTTCTATTCTATTCAGTTAAAAATGTCTGTCCCTTAATTTATGTTTAGTCTTTTGTTAAAAATCTAGGAGATGTGATAGATCTTTGCAGGCTTGGAAATAAGATCTTTAGGGTGGATGCATGAGAAATGGACACTGGACTTAAGAGAGAAACTTAGGCCATTGCTCTTTGCAGTTGCCATATACTACTAGTGAAAATAAATGGCACATTACAGAGTAATTTCTTATTTGTTTTTAATAATAATCATGGCAATTATCAATTATCTATATCTATAAGTGTGGTTGAACTTGGGGATTAGTTTATTAAATGAAGACTTTCTGGACAATCTGTTTAATTATCAAACAAAATTTTCAAAGCAAAAATATCTTGGTAAAAAATGACAGCTCATAGATATAAGAATGGTGTAATTCTGTGAGGATGAGAAGATTATAAGCAGGATTATGAATGCATAGCACTTTTGGACATCATTTCTAATAAAGTCATCTGTCTTCCAGCAGAGAACGTGTTTTTATTAACCACTAGCCAATAGGGAACTTAGATCCTCATTGGTTAATGTTTATTCATTCCAAAGAACAACACTATATTTCTGTCCAAGCAATTAAGGACATACAAATGAGGACTAATTCGCCATAATGACCCCTAAAATTTTCCTGGCATATCTTTAATATAATTTTGAATAGAAATCCTTGGATTGTTGATCAGTTTACATAACTATACATAAGAGATATGCAAAGACTCTTGAGGCACTTTATTTCTTCAGCTGTTGTGTGGAAGTTGTTTGAGAGGTAATAAATTTAATGAATCTTCTAGGTTTTTAAGGCTTTTACAGATTGAGCCCTTGAAGTAATATAAACACAAATCTTTCTTTAAAACATGCTCATCATTGAACATTTCAGAACCTATTACTTATAAACCTTCATTACAAATCAAAATATTATCTATTTTTAGACCCTTCAGGATTTGACATTTTCCAGGATTGGGATTTTTTTCAGGATTTAATTTTAAAAATTCTATACTAATGCAGCCACAAAGTGAATTCACAAGGGATGAGCTAATCAGATATGTTGTTTAATTAGATAGTAATAATATATATATTGACGCTACTCCCTTATAACCTCCACAGAAGCCAGTGCTGTAACAAAGAATCCACAAAGGCAGAGGTTAAAGACCTGTCTCTTTAGTTGTTTTAAAAGCATTTACTTCCTATCACGAAGTGTGTGTAACACAAGCTTCCCTTCAATGAAGTACAGCTGTGTAAACAGGCTACAGTAACAGGATCCTACTCCCTCACCTCCCTCACTTTGCAGAAACAGGAAAAACAAGCAGGAAACTGGACTTGTTTCTATAGTTTATATTCAGTTTGTTGAAAGTAAATTATTTTCAAAATGGGTTATAAAAATGCATTTTATAGAAAATTGTTCCAATACTTCTTTTATGGATCAAATGAGAAAAAATGAATAATGCATCTACATGTTTGTTTTCGCTAGTACTTGAATTGATGAATTGTTTTTTTTCTCAAGAATGAAAACAAATACCAAGGAGGAAAAAAAATGATGTTGTTCAGAATAAGCTTCTTTCTGTGAAAGGCAACACAATCATACATTCTGCCCAATAATATATTCTTTCCCTATAAGCACATTATAGACTCTCTATGCATAGCTTTGCAATGACATAATTAGAAATAACTATGCTCCTTTCCTGTGTCAAAATGTAAATCTATTATATTATATTAATATATTTGATTAATAGCTGGCCAATGATACCATTCATTTGTCCAGCATTTAATATACCATTCAAGTATGTTGTATTTTTGAGTTCAACTTTTTCAATCTTTTTTTTTTTGGTACCGGAGATCGAACTCGGGTCCTTGTGCTTGCACAGCAGTCGGCGAAACCATTGAGCTAAATCCCCAGCCCTTTCAATCTTTTAATAAAAGTATGTTACAATAAAATCTATCCTTTTAAATATTCAGTTCTATGGTTTTCAACAAATCCAGCTGTGTAATTACTACAGATCAGTCTCATTCCTGCCAAAAAAGTAGCCCACCCTCCACCCACCCCATTTCATGTTTGAAGTAGGCAGAATCTAAGATGTTCAGTGATTCTGAAGACTAGATCATAGACTTTGAACTGGTAATGTGATAAAATGGAACATCTGGGGCCTTGGAAGAGGTGAGTGCCTTTTGAATGTGGGAGGAATGTGAATAAGTCAGGTCCAGAGAGCTGATGAAGGGATGGCCCTCAAAGATTCCAGTCCACTAGTTTCCATGCCTTTTAAAAATACCTTCCCTTTGAATGTAAGCTAGATTTGGTTGACTCCCTTCTGGGGAACATAATTTTGGCAAACAAATGGGAAATGACTCCTGATGTTTGCTTATAAAAGATGGTGCTCATGTCTTGGGCATGCTCTCATACTTGAACATGCCTTGTCTGAGTGAAGCCAGCTGCTATGATGTGAGCTGCCCTTTGGAGGCCTCCCCATGGCAGAAAACTGGGAGCAGCATCTGACGCCCCAGGCAGGAAGGAACTGAGTTTCTCAGCCCAATCATCATGAGGAACTGAATTCTGCTAACTACCTCATGAATGAGCCTGGAAGGAAATTCTCCCATCTTCAGGTGCCATTTCAGCCTGCCAATAGCTGAGTGACTGAACTGTAATCTTAGGAAAGACCCTGAGCAAAAAGCATTCATCTAGTCCATGCCCTGAGTTGAGACCCATGGAAATGATAGGATAATAAGTTTAGTGCTTTAAGCTACCGGTTTGTTATAAAGCACTATAATACAATGATTGTTGGCCACCTCATTCTTATGACCTAGTATCCACTGATCTGTTGTCTTACCTTTTTGAGAAGTTCATATGAATGGAATCATACAGCATTTAGCTTTTTGCATTTAGCAGAATGTGTTAGAGATTTCACCATTTTGCTACGTTTTTTAATAGCTTGTTCCTTTTCATCATGGAGTACTATTCCATTTGTACATATGTAGCACAGTTTGTTTCCATTTGTTCTTCACCATTTGAAGAGTATTTTAGTTGCTTACAGTTTTTTGACAATTACAAATGAAGTTTCTATCAAAATTATCACAGAGTTTTCCTGTGAATATAGGTTTTTATTTTGTTTGGGTAAATACTTAGGAGTGGATTACTGAGCTGTATCGTTATGTAACATTTAATCTGTTAAACTGAAACTGGGCAATTTTGCGTAGAACTAGTAGTGTGTAAAATAGAGTTTAAATCTTTCCACAAACCTGGAAATTTAATTGTTAATAGTATTTTTATTTACTTACCTGATAGGCATTTTAATAACTATGCAGTGTAATGCTAATTTGCATTGCTTTGGGTAATGACAATGATCCACACATTTATTTGCCATCTATATATCTTCATTTAGAAGTATCTGTTCAAAATTAGTACCCAGATTTTAATGGGGTTGTTGTCTCCTGGATATCTTTATATATTCTGCATAAAAGTCATTTATTAAGTGTGATATTTGCATATATTCTCTCCCAGGTAGTAGCTTCGCTTTTCATTATTCAACAATATCTTATGAAGAAAAAAAATCTTAAGTTATCATGAAATTCAATTCATATAGTTGAAAGTTTTAATAAGTTATTGTAGTATATGTAAAAAAAAACAAACATTTTTTAGGGAAATGTTTCAGAATAATGTGAAATCTTTGAATATCTAGATCAATTTATATATAGGATATATCCCAAAAATATCTATGTGAGTCTCTTGGCTCATAGCTTGTAATCTATGGAATGAAAAGAATTAACCCATTAGGTTCACTTGAGATGTAATCACAGGTCTATACTGAATTGTCACTATTATATGCAATAGCCATTTAACTGTCAGTGATGGGCAACCAAGGCTGTCCTGAGACATGCTTGTGTTGGTGTTGCCTTTATGTGTTATCTGGAAAACCCCCAGTCATGAAGGGAAGCATGTTTAATGATGTTTGGCACTAACTAAAAGTATGTTAGTGACACTTTATGCAAAATACAGGCTATTGTACAGTAATTTGGAATGTAAGGGCTGTGTCTCAGTCCTTAGTTTTGTCTTGCTATTTAAAAAATGCCTGAAAGCAGGCATGGTGGTGCACACCTATAATCCCAG